GTCCACAAAGATTTTGAAAAAATCAGCAGAGTACAAGTAGCCCCTGAAATAAAGGCGTCATTCAAGGAACAAAGAAGTAGAAGGAGGGCTCCAATTAAAATGATGAAAATCTTTAATTTTTATTTAGGTATACTTGTACGGACACGTGTATATACAAATACAGATCATATGGGTTTGTTTGTGTGTGTGTTTTTTTTTTTTTTTACATTTTCTTTTACGTTTATATAATGTCAGCATTTCAAAACAGCACTCGATGAGTAAGTGCAAAGGAACTGCAAAGCGGGCAGTACAAGCACAGGACCACACGGAGCTGGACTTCACACCCAGACGCACACACAATGAGTGGCTTCAATGGGGTGTCAAGAGTAAGCATGGAAAGCGGATTTGGACTCATGGGTAACCTCCAACATGCCAGCATCTATTAAACTGTACAGACAATGGGAGCAAACCCATTGTAGGGAGATTTGTCTCACATCCGAGCAGCTCTGGGGCAAATGCATGGGAAAAACTCAGTGATGCCAAACCAGAGACAGACCTGCCCATTCACGGTTCTGAGGGAAAACCAAAAGTGGAAGGAAGTCGAGAGACAGAAAAAGTAAACATAAGAAATAAAAGGGGGGGGGGGGGTAGGCAAACGGGAGGGTTTGTTGGGGGACGTGGTTTCCAAAAGAAAGACTAGTGATCACAGCTCTGAGAGCAGTGAATGGAGGGAAGGGGTTTAAACTGTTTTTTTGTTTTAAATTTTGGGGAAACTAATAAAAATGGCTGCTGCCGTTGCTAAGGCACCAGAGACAAAGTCCCTGAAAGTCCACAGGTACTGTGTGACTCTTCCTTTCACAATGACTCAGAGAGAAAGAACCCCCATTTAACCTTCCTAAATGAACTGGTTTGAAACCTTTCCCATGCTTGGGCTGCACATGATACTGACAAGACTCTTCCTGGGGAAGAATGAAAACCACCACAAACAGAAAACCAAACCAAAGTACAGAACCGTTACTAAATTCCCTAAACCTTTTCAAACCAACATGCCGGGGGTGGGGGGGGGGCGAAAAACACCACAGGGCTCCAACATCAGACCTTGAAAACATTGAGGACAAAATGTTGATCAAAAAAGTCATGTTGTTCCAGGTCCCAAGATGGTGGAGTCTTAAGATTGGGAGGGCGGTGACCACACGTGAGTCCTGTATGGAGCAGTGTCTCGGCCATTTGTGACTCTTCTTAGCCACGTCTACATTGGATGTTTCAAAGCCTCAATGCATGTTTTGTATCCTGAAAGACTATTGTTCTCACTTACAAAAGGCATAAGAATCAAATTAATACTTTATTATCAAACACTATATACAACAGAGGTTGCTAATAATACAGAATTTAAAGAATGCAGTTTTTTTAACGTTTTACTTTTCTTTCCTCTGCCACCCAAGAAAGTACAGTACAAAACAATAGTCTAAACTAACACAAACTATTACCTGGTCTATTAAAGGATACACGGTATCCACTAAACAGACAGATCCTTATTTCCCTGCTTCACGTTGCAAAGCCCTTGGCAACCAGGGGCAAAGGTCGCTGGGGTTTGACTGACTGGGGCTGAGAGGCAGCAAAGGCTGCCCTTCATACTTTTGAATTGTTTTTGAAATTAAAAGCTGCTACAAAGTTGCGTGGACATCCTCCTAAGCCCCCTGAGGGTTGTTAACACCATCACAAAAGGCCACCAGCACTTTTTGGACAAGATGAGAACTGCATGATACCAAACGTCTTCTTGAAAACTCCGTGGCAAGCATTACCTACAATTACGTCACTTTTAGGTAGAGAAGCACATTGTCTACTGGTGTGGATAGTCTTGCTTTTTTTTTTTTTTTTTTTTACATTGAATTTGTAGTGGCACAGTGGTGAAGGGGTCTAATTTCACTGTGAAAAATGAAAGACAATGGCAGAGAGGGCCATGAGTAATTAATTATTTTATCATTTGTTAGAGACAAATGCTAGAAAAACCACAGAAGTCACCATTTCTAAAATGAAATTAGCACTGACAATGTAGTTATGACTAACTGGAATCATTACAGGATCATTTGATTTCCTTGTGGTCATAGAACATGCAATATTGTTTTGGTTCTATTGATCCATTTTAGAAGGCATCTTTTCCCCCCTACCCAAATCCCACCAGACCAACAAGCCTGTAACTAACTACTAATAAAAAAGAAGTATTACTGGATATTACTGAGAGTTCTGAGTATATAAATAGTTAATGCAAAAAATAATCCAATGCTGTGAACTTCTGTTTCAGTGAAATGGTGGCTGCCTTCTGTGATAAGACTCTGCCACTCCAGAGAAGTTCCTGATGTCTGGGGGAATAGGATTTAATCGGAGAGGCTGGCAACCTCTCACATGGTTCCAAGTGCGAACAGACCCAGCATTAACATCCACTCCAAACGGATCGGGTAAGCCCAGATTACATTTCAACATGTGTACAACTCTCCAGCGTGCAGCGCCTTTACAGCTGCCTTTCATTCACATATCTCTCCAATTCAGAACTACTGACAGTTCTTAGCAAATTCCCATTCATGAAGTCTATCCATAATATGACCCCTCTTTTTTAACATGTACATTAAAAAAAAACCCCAGTATATTAAAAAGTCCTTATTGTGCTGGAACGCTTCCAGTTTTTCACATCTTACACGATCATTGCATTTATTTTTTGTTTTGTTTTGAAAGGCATGGTTTCTATTGACATGTCCTGCAACAGCAAAAAAGGCTTGCTTGATTTCTTTTTTTTTTCCATTGGTCTGACACTTTTCCCTGTCTAGGCTTTGGAGTTCAAAGTTCGTGGCAGCCTCACCAGTAGCAACCCCCAAGGCTTGCATTTCCTGGTAATCGACTGGGAACAGCCCTGTTGGCCGTGCTGATTTACTGTCCTCTTGCCCACTCCTACAGTGAAACAAGTTATTAGTGATGTTGAGCCGCTTTTCATGTGTCTCTTGGCCATCTGTATGCCTTCTTTGGAGAAATGTCTATTTAGGTCTCCTGCTCATTTTTCTTTCTTTTTTTTTTTTTTTTTTTAACATTGAATTTGTAGTGGCACAGTGGTGAAGGGGTCTAATTTCACTGTGAAAAATGAAAGACAATGGCAGAGAGGGCCATGAGTAATTAATTATTTTATCATTTGTTAGAGACAAATGCTAGAAAAACCACAGAAGTCACCATTTCTAAAATGAAATTAGCACTGACAATGTAGTTATGACTAACTGGAATCATTACAGGATCATTTGATTTCCTTGTGGTCATAGAACATGCAATATTGTTTTGGTTCTATTGATCCATTTTAGAAGGCATCTTTTCCCCCCTACCCAAATCCCACCAGACCAACAAGCCTGTAACTAACTACTAATAAAAAAGAAGTATTACTGGATATTACTGAGAGTTCTGAGTATATAAATAGTTAATGCAAAAAATAATCCAATGCTGTGAACTTCTGTTTCAGTGAAATGGTGGCTGCCTTCTGTGATAAGACTCTGCCACTCCAGAGAAGTTCCTGATGTCTGGGGGAATAGGATTTAATCGGAGAGGCTGGCAACCTCTCACATGGTTCCAAGTGCGAACAGACCCAGCATTAACATCCACTCCAAACGGATCGGGTAAGCCCAGATTACATTTCAACATGTGTACAACTCTCCAGCGTGCAGCGCCTTTACAGCTGCCTTTCATTCACATATCTCTCCAATTCAGAACTACTGACAGTTCTTAGCAAATTCCCATTCATGAAGTCTATCCATAATATGACCCCTCTTTTTTAACATGTACATTAAAAAAAAACCCCAGTATATTAAAAAGTCCTTATTGTGCTGGAACGCTTCCAGTTTTTCACATCTTACACGATCATTGCATTTATTTTTTGTTTTGTTTTGAAAGGCATGGTTTCTATTGACATGTCCTGCAACAGCAAAAAAGGCTTGCTTGATTTCTTTTTTTTTTCCATTGGTCTGACACTTTTCCCTGTCTAGGCTTTGGAGTTCAAAGTTCGTGGCAGCCTCACCAGTAGCAACCCCCAAGGCTTGCATTTCCTGGTAATCGACTGGGAACAGCCCTGTTGGCCGTGCTGATTTACTGTCCTCTTGCCCACTCCTACAGTGAAACAAGGCAGCCCCCCCCCTCCATATTCCTAAATGTATCAAGGGATACCACTTTTTCTCACAAGTTTAAATAGGACGAGCATATATACTCACTCTCAGCATAAAGTATATCTAAATAATGTATATTCTATTCTAGTGGATTTTTAAAAAAATAGTTTGTTAAAGTCTTTGGGACTCCATCTTGTTTATCTCCCACAGATAAACATATGTTCCCCCTATGCTTCAGGCTGTGTCAGAAAGGGAAAGAATATAAAATCAACTCTTGAATTTTTTCGTTCCAGACTTCGGAATTTTTATTCCAAATTTCCCTTTAGCCCTCCCAAGTAGTATTGACTCTTCCGGGGACAGGGGTTTGTGTCTGAGCCCCTGTAGTCATGGAGTGTGGAGCAAAGTGTGGGTATGAGGGTGGGAGTCAGGGAAAGGCCACAGCACACTGGCGCTCCAGCAAAGCCAAATTACATCTCCTCTGGCCACTGACACCCTTTCCTTGGTACACATTGTTCCCCCAGAGGAGTATCCAAAGCTATTCCATATACACTCATCAACCCTGGCTTGTCAGCCTCGGGGAAGGTCACTTTATTTGTAAAAATGCCTCTTTCAGTTTTTTTAAAAAAAAAAAAAAAAAAAAAAGTTGTAGCACCATGGTGATCTGTATTCAAAGGAAAAAAAATCTGGCGTGCGCTGCCCAGTCACCAAAAAAATTAGAGGCACTCACACATATATGTCCCCCACCCAACGTAGTGTTTTCACACTTGCTCTGTGCTAACATTCCGGCACTCGACCCGCCTCCTAGACAAAAGGCTTCTTTTAAGGAGCACAAGTTTTGCTGTCAAGAATGCTTTAAGACAGTCACCTTTTTAAAAAAAACAGAAACAAAAAACAGAAAACCAGTGTCTCAACCTTTCAGAAGCCTGTTCATTTATATACTCCTAGAGGAAATGGTGTAATATTATATCTATTCTTAATCCCTCCCCTCTGGACTTGACATGGTGACATGATGCACCTGCACGATCATCTTACAGTCCTGAATGAGAAGGCATAAGTATTGCGTGGGAGAGGAAAACCCTCCTGGGCCTCGCCATCACCGGCTGCATCTGCCACTATCCTTCCTCGTCCACACACCGCTGACAGTGCGCTACAGGACGTGAGCTCTTGGAGGAGAATGCACAGGAGCAGACGACCACGGGTGTCACTATAACCACTGGGCATTTTCATCTGGAGTCCATCTAATTTGCAAGGGGTGAGAGAAGGCAAGGGCAGGGGTGGGGTGAGGTGAGGGAGGCAGCAACTATGTTAGCTCCCCCGGCCCCAAGTTGTTGCTTAGAATTCAGGCTGAAGGAAAGAAAATAAAAATCTGACATCTGCCAAAAAACCAATAACAAATCCCTTCTTAGGATGAGCAGTTGGGTGGATCTCTGGTGTTCCAAGACCCTGATGTTTTCTGTGACAGGTGATGGGAGGAGACTGTGCTATAATGTCAAAAGCATCGCCAGGAGGAACAGTAGGATTGCCAAAAGGCGGCTGGGTATCCTTGGTGTTTGTGCCGCATTCTCGCCGCGGGATGGCTCGGCTGACTCGTGTACGGTATCATCTGTTCAAATAGAAAGCACACATTCCAATGAGATTTCACATCCTTAATAACTCTCTTGCAGCAGCCTGCTGTTAACAGACCGCGCCACCCTCTGCAAAGTAGGGTAATGAACCTTGTGCCACCATTGACTTTCATGTCTGCATAATCATTCATTATTTACAGCAAACAAAGGAGAGGCAGAGAAAATTGGACTTTCTTGGCAATATTAATACTTTCCTTAAAAACGGAGGTGAAAAATGTGCACACTGTAACCTCTGGCACGTGAGCTACTCAGGTTTGCTAGCAGTCAAACAAACAAACACACCATGCACAAACTTGGTATCTGAATGTACCTTTTAAACCCAAAATGCCCTGGAGGAGCAAGTAACGGGGGTAGGGGTGGCAGGATGCAGTTAATGTTGGCATATTAGTGGTTAACCAGAATGGGCTGCCCTTTTTCCTCTTTTTAGCGGTTTCATAGGATTCGTGTTGAATGCCTGGTTGTTGGACGTCTAGATGAATTTTCAAATGTGAAGAATTAAATGCCAAAACAACAGCATTTTAACTAAACTACACATAGTGCTCACTAAACCTAAATAAATCGGTGCCCACTGGCTTGCCTACAATTAGGAATCAATTGTGGTGCTATTTCTATTACAAACCCTGTATCTCCAGGATGAAATTACTTGAACTTGACTATTTTTATTTTTGTCAGGCTGAAGCTGGGCACATAAATTATCAGTGTGGATGCAAATTTTCCTCTAAATAAAATGGATTAAGTGAGGTAAGCTTCTTTTATTTAGCTACAAAGTGTTCTATGAGACTGCCTCTGACTTGGATAGTCTTCCTGAGCTGCATGATTAACAGGCTTAACTTCGAAACAGGAACTTTGCAGCAATTAGTACCCAAAGATAGACTGGAGGCTTGCCTATGAGCCGTGCTGTGCTCTGGCGTTGCCGGTATTCTTCCTTCCACCTGGCTTAACTCGTGCTTTTAGACTCAGTGATCTCTGAACTACACGTGGGGCCACCAGTGGGATTCTTTGGTAGATTTTATTTTAGCATCAGGAGAACTTCCTGTAGGAGGCTCAGCGATTGTCAGGCTGGATTCACTCTATGGTCAGTCAGAGAGAATGGGTACAAGTGTTCCCAATTCTGTAGACCTCAAAGATAATCGCTAGACATCCCTGAATGACCCACCTCGAACCCCTTAATGGATTAATAACTCTATTCTATTAAATTCATTTCTGTTTTCACATCACACAGCATGTCACAATAGGGATGCTTTTTCTTTACTAGGCAGAGTCACACTCCCTGTTATTTGTCCTAAAGCGACCACCTTGCAGGCTCAGGCTGGTCTCTACTTCAGGTATGCTCACGTGGGCTGTTTCTGTTCATTACATTCACTCCCTATATGAACTTAGAAATATGTCTTCTCAGCATCGAGGCTTCTGCTCTGGAGTGCTCGTATCATTTTAGCCTGTCCCCACGTGTAGAAGCTGCTGCATCCCTATGTCAGATTTGCTCTCCTCACCTGGACCTTAGCAAACCTGCATGGAATACCTATTAGCTTAGGAGCAAGAATGGGAAGTTAAATGGATGCAGGGGAAAATGTAACGCCCCCACGATGCAAATACTTGTGGACTCTTTTCTCTGCCGTTTCTTAGCCTTGCAAATGTATTAAATCTGTAGTTAGGAGGTAGACATAAATGCCCTTAACAGCCCTGAAAAGAAAATCCAAATCACTGTCTTAAGAGCACCAACCTGTCTTTATTCGGAATCATGGAGTACTTCAGGCTTAACTGTGAAAGAACCATAACCCAGAGGATTCCAGAGTTCATTCTGAAATACCACTTATATTTATACACCTGAAATTACATCAGCTATTGATTGGGTTCTTCTCAGTCTTATCTTCACCAACATATTACCCAGTCCTCTTCCTTGTAAAGTTTGGAAGTGTACTGATAAAAGAGGTACCCAAGTAACACGTAGATACTCAGTTGTGAGCTTGAAGGGGACTCGCCTTCTCAGTCTGACCAGGGTGCTCAGCGAGGGCTGTCCATGCTCTAGGCCCACACGGCACAAGACGGGGGAATGAACCTTGCACACCTTTGAGACGAAAGCGTTTGTTTGTTTATCATATAAGAGAAGCCATGAGGCCAATGTGCCTTTCGATCCTCAAATCATGGCCATCTTTGGAATTAGCCTTTTTCTAAGCAACCAACCAGTAAGTACCCTCTTGCCCTCAAAGGAGAAAATCAGTCCCCTTAGGGGACCAGGGTTCTTCTCTTCTCACTGTAACAATGGTCCTGGCTCAGGATTCTACAGAGCATCCTTTGATTAAACAGGGCCTCAGTGTTGGGAGATTCTGTGGCCCCCAGGAAGCAAAATGAAAAACAGGCTGTTTGTTTGTTATTTAGGTAAGTCTGAGCAATTTCAGAATTCTGAAGAGGAATTCATAAGCAAAATCTGTCCCAATGGAAATTACACCTAAACATGAGAGAACTTCTAAAACTTGTAACGGTGAATGTGGCTTGGAAAAAGAAAATACTTCTCTTCAGAAGCCAAATCAAGTCTTGCCTCCTGGCTACAGGATTCCACAACATGAGGGTTTCAGTGGTTAACTGAGTGAATACTAGCAATATTTTGGAGCATATTATGTGGCATATGTGTGCCCTGAGATCATCCTGTATCCCTGATGACAGGAAACTGGCAGGCAGAGTGTGCAAGCAAACAAAAAAGACAAACACATTCCAAAGACAGGTGAATTAGTATACATTGCTGAGAACATGCAGTGGAATCCTTTCAGCCTTGCTGGCTTCATAAAGTCTGGGTCTGCACTCAACCATCCAGCACAGCGGTGCGGAGCTGCAAGTATGAATTTTCTAAGGAGTACAGGGAAGTGTCAAATCTACTATTATTGCATTCATGCAGCCAGGGATCGTAGTTCAACCTTGTCTTACCTCTTTAGTGAAGGTGATCACCAGAATGCCCTTAACTATAGTCATGACCGACTCAGGGAGCTTCTTCCTGCAAGCACACCTGCATGCCTCTCCCCAACACACACACACACACACACACACACACACACACACACACACACACACACAGTCTGACCACATTCTGTCAAAGCTTTGCAAACTTCTATCAGTTACAGGTGTATAGATTTGGGGGCCATCATGGACTTAAATGCTCACTGAAAAAGAGTCTGTTTCCTCAAAGACAGTGAAATATGTTCACATATGAATGCATGTTAGTATCTTGCATTTTATCATTAGTTGAATTCAAAGGTAGTTTTCCTGATGTCAGAACAGTCCTCAGTGTGCCTCTTCATCACCAGTGAAAAACATGCAATCGGTTATGTTTCTAAACAGCTTTCCCGATAGGCAACGGAATTTACCTGGAGAAAAGATTACTGGAAAGCTCTGCCTACATTCTGCAACGGTGTACATCAAAAACTCTTAATTCAGGGTAACTTATAACATGCCCAACCCTGCTGGTCAGCCTACACATGACTTATGAACAAAGCCAAGACAGTAAAAGTTCTCTCCATGGACATCTCTATGTCTAGCAATGGTAAGAGAATCCTTTTATACTAATGTAGGAATGGGAGTTGAGAAATACGAATATTACACCTGGATCTGTGTGTAACTAGCTGCATGGCCTGGGCAAGTTACAAAAGGAAGAGTGTAGACCCTGGGGTCCTTAAAAGGTCTCATCTCACTCACAGATCCCGTGATGGCCCAAGTCCTCAAGCTTGTGAGGTGTCTGGAAACTCGAAAAGCCACAGATTTCCAGAACACAATTAAAATGTCTCCAGGTCAGCACTCATTCCTTGCAACTTTCTAAAGCAGCTAACGGATCCCTGGGGAGCCACTAAGGCCTCTGAGAGCTTATTGTACACACCTCTCCTCTGTGCTCTAGATAAGATGCCTGCCTTAGAAAAACAGGAATGCTTGGGGGAAAAGCCTAACCCTTCCTGTCAGTTACAACGTGGAAGCTATTGTATGCCCTGAGGCACCACATTTACTCAAGGTAAGTTTCCCTAAGGCTCATTGACTGTGTGTCCCAGTAACAGTACTCAAAGGATAAAGTGGACCTCACAACCTTTTAATATCCAGGGCCATCAGAAAGGTAAGTCCTGCTGCAAATAGGTGAAAAAAAAGTCTCTGTTTACATAAGAGGGGGCTTACAACTTTCTGGGAAGACGAAATAATTCTACTGTCCTTAAGCTTTGAGATAGTCACAGGAGATAGGTAAGGAAGCGAGTGAAGATCTCAAGCAAGTAGGGTGAGGAAAGGAAACCGCAGGTAGATGGGCATCCAGGGGCTTTGAGGCACCCTCCTCAGTGAACAGAGGATAGAGGGCTCCCCCCCCCCCCCCCCCCCCCGGGGGGGCCCAGCCAGCAGATGGCCGAGCTGTCGGAGGTGCTGGCACTCAGGATGCAGAACTATGAACAGCAGCAGAGGGAGGCTGCCCAGCTGCGGGCGGGCGCCCCCCCCCCCCCGCCCACCTCATAATCAGTCTAGCGGCATTAAAGAGCCAGATTGAATTTATAACCAAGTGGAGAGTTTTTACATTATCCACAGTACGCTGCAGTACAAAGGCTTCAACGATCCCGTTGGTGGGTTTTATTTTTCTTCATAGTGATGGGAAAGTTTGGGGGTATGGCAGATAGAAGTAGTAGAAAAGATTTACTTATCCTCGATACTTGTTTTGCCTCAGTAATCAAGGATCACGTTTGGCTCGACAGACTACTGCGGATACGCTTGTGGGAGCAGCAGGTGCATGAGTTTGTGGTGTTAGGAGGCAACACGGTTATGCTTCTCCAGACCTATTTCTATTGACAACAGCACAAATAATAGTTGAAGTAAAATGAAGTCCTTTTAGATCAGTTCAATGATGCATGTGAATTTCTAGAGAAAACTAAACAGGTTGAATTAGTTGCTATTTTGTGCAATAGTCTTTCATTACTTTTATCCATAGATTTGGATATAATGTAAAAGTAAAGTTTTATGAGCGCATACAGTAGAAATTTTTTTCTGTCTTACATGAAAACAGATCCATTAATAGTCACAGTAATTCACCAGCATGCTCAGAGGATATGGTAAAAAAGTAGTGAGACTTTTAGCTTTCTGATGGGGCTTCTATACTAGGATACTGCATTGTATCAAACCCATGTCAAAAAAAGAAAAGTCATAATTTATCTAACATGCATTACACAGAGATACTGGAGGAATTAGGTAGAATATAAGTAATATTAGCATTGCTAGCAATGAGCAAAAGCAGAGCAACTGTAACATGCAAACATGCGGAGAGGAAGAAAGGAAAAAAAGTACTGAAGCACCAGAGAGAGATGCATTTGTTAAGAGAGATTCTCTAAGCATACTAACCTGCTGGTTCTAATGAATTTTCTACTTTGTCGTTAACATCGAAAACACGATCATGAACACCTATAGTTTTCATACAGCTATCTATAACAAAAATAGAGATAACAGCCAAATATGTTAGTGAAGACACCCTTAAACTCCCGTTTCTTTCTTTTTTCCTTCTAATTTTTCCTTTTACTTATGGAGAGACTGTTTTACAATCAGTGGCATGTATCCAAATGCCAATATTGTTCCCATTTGCTGTGCACGTACAACAGTCTGAGAAACAACAAGTTAGCAACTGCTGTGTACTTAAAGGCATCATGAAAAATAATGAGAAAAAATATGATGAAAACTGAAACATGAATGTTGATAATACAAAACAGATACCACACAGGATTTACAGTAAAAAAAAGTTTTACCGCTGTGAACCAGACCACACAATAGAGCATGCGCAGTGAAGCCACCCTCAGAAGCTCATTTTAGTGAACTTACTTGTTGGTCGCACAAAGACTTTGAGCTTTAGACAGGACCGTCTTCCATTATCTGGGATTGCAGAGGCTGTGGAAAAGACAAAAAGAGAGAGCAAGAGAGAAAGGAGAGAACACCACCAGATTATTCATTTGCAAATGCGAATGGGCCACAGTAAATTCTTTCATGAACAATGGGTGCTTACTCTAATTCTTCCCAGAAGATGAAACAGAAATACTTTTCAGACTGACACTGACTGACTGCTATCGAAAGGGCTACTTTCCTACACCTGTCTTTCCTTTGCAATACAATAAAGAAAGACTCATGCAAGAACGTTGGTAATCTACAGAAGAATACTTCGGATTCTTATTTCAAAGCCTCTTGTGTTTAACTTGATCTGTAATCAGTTTTCTCTAAAATAAGGAGATAACGCTGTGCGAGTCCTCCTGCTTTCATAGAGAGCAGGAAAGGGGCCCGCAGCCACCAGAGCCCAGGGTGTAAGCATTGGCAAAATCCAGTCAACAGTTACAAGGCCAACTTAAACATGACCTAGTTCTGCTGGGGAAAGCAAAGCTCTGTCTGTCCTGAAAGCCTGTCTGTCAGTGCTTTGCAGGTAATTCAATTAGAGGTTTTACTCAGAACTTGGCTCCACATTCTGTATGACTAAACCAAACCCAGCAACTTCCATCAGGCTATTATAAGTACAATATGCTATTGAGAAAGTACTGGGTTGCAACGGGACATTTATTTTTAAAAATTTGCCGCAGAGAAGGATGGAATTAATAAAGTGGGCTTACCAACACACGACAACATGTTTCAAGTTATAAATCATTTGAGGAAGAAACTTTCTTCTCCTCTTCAAGAAAATAAGACTGTAAACTTCCCCTGCGTCTGAAAGACGATCTCCCCTCAGTACACCCAGCATAATGTCAAAGGGATTTCCAAGGCAGTAAGACCCTTAACAATCACATATGTTTACGCATGCATTCTAGAGATGACAAAAATTACAGAAACGAGTGCTGCATACTTTCCTCCCTATGTGTTTGCTTCAAGTGTTTTCTTTGTTCAGAAAGAGCAGATGATATCAGTCAGAATACACATGGCTCACAATTAGTTTGGTAATACCGTCAGTGACAAAGAGAGGACCCGTGTTCAGTGTGCCTTCTCCCTCCCCTATTCTTACTGTCCCTCACGGTGAGCCCAGAAAACGAAAATGCTGATTTTGCAGGTGAGAGGATTCAAGGTACAAACTCTAGACTAATTTCCCAACAATCCCCTCGTGTAACTCCAGGTCCACATCCTGGAGGAGAACTTATAAAGTCACCAGCTAAGAGACATCAAGCTGGAAAGGACCCCCGTGTCGCTATGCGACACCTGTTGACAGCTCTCTTAACTCTTAGACCAAAGTAGATACAGAAAAGATCCCCACCTTCGTGTTCGCTCTGACAAGCAGTTAAGAAGTGCTAACAGCTGGCTTTGCTGTAGGCTTTCATTAAATCAAAGTCGGAGAAACTCCCTCTACTGACATTTACAGTAACTAGTGTGTTATTTAGGGCACAATATTTGCACTCTGTGGTTTGATCCAGGAAATGATGTCCTTCCTGTGGACCCCAACTGCAAATGTGCACGTCACAAATACAGTACACATAGGTGACTCCGATTCATTAGAAAAACCATGGGTTCTTGAGATAGTTTATATCTTTATGAGGGGTGGTGTGAAAAAGTGACACATGGATATTTACGCTGCTGTGCTGTGGATTTCTGAGCTGAGATGAACTTACTGCAAGCCTTGTGAACTTGATTTACCACATGCAATAGCTGATTTTACTGATGATACTGTAAGATATAACAGGCTCAAGGCAAGATCAAATGTTTGTTTTAGCGGGGGAACTTCTTAGAGTTAGCACACAGTTTTCAGATTTATATATAGGAGAAATTCTATAAATCCAGGACATAAAAATCATTGTGGGGCACGCTGGAATAACTAAACACCAACACATGATAAACTGTCCAGGAAAAATTCAAGAGAGTTCTCTCACCAGCTCGCAAAGAGGGACAATTAGCCTTAGTTACTGGATGAGCTATATTATTCTGTACACTAAAAATATTAAATGTACTTATATTTATATAAAGACCTCTCTTCCCCATCAAACTTCTCCCTTCCTCATCTCCTCTCTATCACCAGAAAAGCTGTATGACAATGATAACGTGACTGATACCTTATGATGCTGTTTGACTATTATACTCTAATCCTTAGAAAGACTGATAAACAAAGAATGTAAACATATAATGTGAGTACACAGTGCAGATTACATTAAGTCCCTTGACTCCACAGCCTCTGACCTGAGCTCATGAAATCTTAACCTAAGTCGGTATAACTTGGGTCCCTTGTTTGCCACGTTGCAAAACAAAAATAATACCAGAAGCCATAAAAACTTTTCCCATATGTGAGCAAAACTCAATTTTTTATGCAAGGTTTAAAAAACTGGGAGTGTGGCTTTATTCCATGTCCTGTTCCAGGTTTCTTAACCCCACACCTCTTGCCTGACAAATAGAGGGCTCCTTTATATCACGTACTAAGAGCGATTGTTATTAGTAACATTTGAATATATAAGGTAATATGAAAGTGCTTTACTAGTCACACCTAAACAACAAAGCGGAGGCTTGAAGCATTAAAAACACAAAACAGAGGAACTGAAAAATGTAATAGTCACACAGGTAAATTTATAAAGAAAATCCTCTTGGGATCAATTATGAGCAAGATTGACGATGGACGTGAGGGAGTAAAAACTTAAAACGTGTCTGGCCTTTGTCGGGAGGTCGGTATTATTGATCTCTATGATTCTAGAGACACAACATCACTTTATACTAAGTAACACTATTTTAGTTAAAACAGTACGCTGCTTTCCTTAGAAAATTAATAGTGAATGTTTGGAAACTGATAATAAATAATTACTACCATTTATTATATATTACTGCAGCTTTATCCACTCAAACGCTTTTAAAACTGCTATGTGCAGTCGCCCTGTTAGGTGCTATGGACGCAAAGATGTATAAGACCAACTGTTTCTGTCCTTGTGCTGTGCTTATCCCAGCTGGGGACATAGGTAGGAAACACAGTTTAGGGACCAGGAGGCATCCATGTGGTAACTGAGGTTTGCATGAGCTTCATCTGGGCATGTGAGGGTGTCGCGGGAGTGTTTATCAGAGGGAATTTTATCCAGGCTTTACAGGTCCTCCAGAAGCCAAACAACAGCAACTGGGACAAAAGAATTATAACATTTCATCCCTGAGTTCCCAAATTGGAGCTTTAGCCACCAAAAAGAGGTCTTCACCTGCAACAGGGGAAGAAAACCTAGACCTGGACTCTTCCTATAATGATAGTTGGATTTTCTGTGCTGGAGAGGATGTGGAGAAAAGGGAAGCCTCCTACACTGTTGGTGGGAATGTAAATTGGTACAGCCACTATGGAGAACAGTATGGAGGTTCCTTAAAAAAACTTATAATAGAACTTCTGTATGACCCAGCAGTCCCACTACTGGGCATATATCCAGAAGAAACTCTAATTCGAAAAGATACATACACCCCAATGTTCACAGCAGCACTATTTACAATGCCAAGACGTGGAAGCAACCTAAACGTCCACGGACGGATGGAAAGATAAAGAAGATGTGTATATATATTTATACAGTGGAATATTACTCAGCCATAAAAAAGAATGAAATAATGCCATTTGCAGTGACATGAATGGACCTAGAGATTATCACACTAAGTGAAGTAAGGCAGACAGAGAAAGATAAATACCATATGATATCACTTACATGTGGAATCTAAAATATACAAATGAACTTATTTACAAAACAGAAAGAGACTCACAGACATAGAAAACAAACTTATATGGTTACCAGGGAAAAGGGGGGAGGGAGTTTGGGATTACAATATACAAACTACTGTATATAAAATAGATAAAAAACAAGGTCCTACTGTGTAGCACAGGGAGCTATACTCAATACCTTGTAATAAACTATAATGGAAAACAATCTGAAATATATATATATATATATATATATATATATATAACTGAATCACTTTGCTGTACACCAGAAACTAACACAACATTGTAAATCGACCATACTTCCATAAAAAAAAAGATATGGATTTTAAAATAGAATTTGTCAGATTAAAATGAGAAATTCAATTCATGTCTTAAACATTTGTCACATAATCCAAATTCATATCCCTTTACTGAGTTTACTGCTGAAAATGTACATTTGGAGTCAGGAAGCTGGGAGTAGGGGTGTGGGGACCATTAAAACAAGCACAGCCTCCTGTTCCACGATCTTAATAGCAACTTTATAAATCAATCCACAGAGTCCCTTCCCCCTAAGGATCTGCAAAGTACCCATCACAACCTTACAACACATAATGAAATATAATCTACGGGCCCTCTGGTTCTCCGTGTTCAGAGTATCCTGCTAAAAAAGGGCTGCTTATCTTTCGCTCTGTTGCATGACTTCAGACAGGAGCTCTAACTTCAGCCATTCCTGAAAACCTGTTTGCTTGCTCTCCTGGGGCTCAGGTGAGCATGGCCCAGCACTTATCAGCCAATTTGATACATAAAGGGGACCACATTCAATGCCTCCAAATCAGTACTTCCAAAGGCTGTATTTAGCACTGCAAATATTTGTAGCATTCACATCACAATTAACTGTGGGCCCATCAGCTGGATGTGGCATCCTGCTTGTGGCAGGCAACTTCTGACCTAGCTCCAACAATCCGTACCTGGTATGCATGCTGTGTCTGCCTCTCCCCTTGAGAGCGGGCTGGCCCTGGTTGCTTGCTTCTGGTGAGTAGAATACAGCAAAAGTGATGGGATGTCACTTCTGTGATTATGTTGTAAAAGACTGTGCCCTCCTTTCTCCTTAGCACTCTCGCTCACCTTCTGAAGCAGGGTGCCACACTGTGAGGTTCTCAGTGGAAAGGCCCACATGGCAAGGAGCAGAGGGAGACTTCCAGACAAGCGCGTGCAAGAAGCTGACACCTCAGTGCAACAACCAGCAAGGAGCAGAATCCAGCTAACAATCATGCGA